ATATAGTCACCTACATATATAATTAACATGCCAAAATAATAATAATAAATGGAAATTGGAAAAATTCTCGAGCACGGAAATCCGATCCTGGCCCCGAAAACTCAAAAGTGACGAAAATGGTAAATATATATTTGTAAGAGTCCCAAACGCGTAGAAATATCCCAAACGATCCCTGGGACCCACGTGGCATGCAAAACGAGGCATGAAAAAGAAATAATGTAAAAATAAATAAAAATTTTAAAAAATCTGAAAAAATTCCAAGACATTACATAAATAAATTTTATAACAAATGAGAAGAATGTACAATAAAGGGCCTAGCCTATAGGCACAAAGCCACAAGCCCACAACCAAGGGCCCAAGGAAAACACAAAACCACTAGACAAGAATCATCTAAGTTCAGCGCAGGAGCGAGAACAGAGATGGGAAAAAGGGGCAATCATGCCGGTGGAGAGATGATTACACGCTAATGATCAACCAGGGTTAAGATTGCTTCCAAAAATAGAACTGGGGAGACTCCATTCAATAGCAATCATTCTGGAGTCCTTATAATCAGTGAACTTGATGAATATAAGTCTACAATACACACACTCCTCTATTGTTTTAAGCACCGTTTTCATAATGGATCGCTTGCTTGAGAAGGTACGGTTGTCACGCTCTTTCCATAGGAAGTAAATACACCTGGCGAGGCATAGTTTATAGGTGAGAGCGATGTTTGATGTTTAGTTAGGGATCCAAAATGAGGATACCCAATTTAAGAGGCACCTAAGGTTTTGTTGTCTTGAGTGAACCCCACACTTGTATTGCAACCTTTGCCAAACCCAGGAAGAGAATGCGCACTTGAAAAAAAGTTTTTCATGACTCGATACTTCAGCCAAACTGAGTGAGCATAAAGTAGAGTCATTAGAATTGGCTACGATAGGCCAATCCTTAATACTGAGTCTCCCATTTGTGGCAAGCCAGGAGATAAAGGAGTTTCTAGGGATATGGTTTAGAAACCAAATGGTGTGAGTCTATGTGGTGAGGGCAGCAGGAGGAAGTAAATCCCGGTATGTATGTTTCATATTGAATCTGCAATTGAGGGAGAGAATCCAAGAAGCTCGATCTGGATTAGTAGGGTGGATTGGAGGGAGCTATTATAGGTTGCTGATAGTAGGGACAACGATTGTGATGGAGAGTGGAATTCTCCATTGGTTGTGCTGAATTAGGGAACTAACTCTAAAGTTCGCATTCCAGATAAAGTTGAACATAGAGTTTGCATCAATTCTCTCGCTAAGAGGACTAAATGGTAGCCAGTAGTCATACCAAAGGGATGTATCCTTCCCATTGCCCACATAATGTCTGATGAAGGATTTAGCCAATCCTATAAGTTTTAGGATTCGTCTCTAATTCCACAAACTCAGTTGGGAAAGCTTATATCCTTGATATGAGTAGAGTGAACCCATTTGTACTAAAGGGATTGTCCCTCATCCTTGAAGATATTCCATATATGCTTCAGGAGGGAGATTCTATTAAGGGTAGCTAGGTTAGGGATTCCAAGACCTCTATACTCTTTAAGTCTGCAAATGGCAACCTAATTAACCATTGCCCCAGTTGGCTTCATCTCTTTACTAGTCCATAAAAACCTCCTTAGAATATAATTATCTGGTTGATGACTTGCAGTGAAAGATGAAGTGAGAGCTCTAGTAGAGAATGATGCTGATGAAAATTGTTTTAATGAGTTAGAGTCACCTTGCATAGGATAGGAAATGAGTGGTCCAACTATTCACCCTAACAATGATCCTTTCCACTATGTTCCTGCAATTAGAAGCCAATAGTCTAGAGGAGGATAGAGGTAAACCGAGGTAAATAAATAGAAAATGTCCAGTCTAAAAACCACAAGCATTGGTCATGACAGTGTAAGCATTAGTTTGAACATTGGATAGGAAAATCATGCTCTTAGTATTATTAGGCTTCAATCTAGCTAATGATGAAAAAGTATTCATTGCTTTGAGGAGCACATTAAGGGATTGAATATCACCATTGCAAAACAACATAATGTCATCAGTAAAGCAAAAGTGGGAAATTTTCTCCTGCTTGCATCTCTAGTGGTAGATAAATGCCAAGTCTTCTTTAGTGAATTTTCTTAGGATGTAGACAAGACATCCATAACAATATTGAACAGAAAGGAAAAGATGGGATCACCTTATCTCAAGCTCTTTGATCCTTTAAAGTAGCCAACCAATTCTCCATCGACTGATATAGAGTAGGATGGGCTACATACATAAGCTTTACCCAATTGATGAAGGTAGTGGGAAACTAAAGGATAATGAGAGTGTCAAATAGGAATAACCAATTGACAAAGTCATATGCCTTTTGAAGATCCACCTTAAGTGCACATTTAGAAATGGGAAAAGGATTATGATACCTTTTCATAAGCTCTTGGGCTAGGAAAAACCCACCATTCACCATGCTTTTTTACAGAAAAAAGCATTGTAGCTATCTGGCCTTGGGGCTTTGTTGTTTCCAATAGAGAACAAGCAAGCGCTTATATCCTCCTCAGTTAGGATGGAGAGTGTTAATGTCTTTTTAGTTGATTTGGTTGTCAATTTGTGGCTTAAAATTTGGCTTTTAAGGGTTTAGTCTGCATTGGTTTTAGTTTATGATTTTAGCCTTCAGAGGAATATCTATCATTCAAGTTACTGATTTAGAATATTTATAATTAATTGGAAAAATTTGAGGTAGGATTATAAATAGCTAGCCTTACCTAATTGTATTTTTAATCTTACTTATACCTCTTTAATGAAGTAAGGCTTGACTAATTAGGCATTTTGAGATCGAAGTTGTTTCTGACATAAATAAATAATCCATCGATTAGCCTAAAATATTTCCATTGCCTCATGAGGGAGTTGAGGGTAAAGGTAGTTTATAGATTGGTAAAGTAGGAAAAACAATGGTGACAATGGTAGCGAGGAGATAGGCTCATGGAGTACATGGTGAAAAGGCATGTAATCGATGTTAGTGCTCTAGTGTTGTAATATCTCTACAAATCATAGTGGAATATCTTTTAATCCGTGAATGTAAGCTAGTTTTGGCTTAACCACATTATATCTTGTGTTTATGCGTGATTGTTTTGTTGGCTTTCATTGGATCTTGTTATTCGCGCGTTTCCATTGCCCTAATAAATTGGTATCAAAGTCGAAAGTTAAAAAGATTCGGAAAACACAAGAAATCTTAACGAGTGCTGCAATAGGTTTCAGTTGCAGGTGAAGTCAAGCAACTTAGTTGGTCGTGATGGTCAGGAAATCTGATGGGTTACATGGAATGGAGCTTGAGTAGACAAGGTGGAGTCTTGAAATTAGTTTGACTGATCAAGCAGTCTTAATCAATATCGTGGGAAGGTGAATGGAATTTGAGCCAAGGTGGAGATTATTATGAATTTTTTCTCAAATTCCTAGTTTAGGTTTCTATTTTAGAATTGTTTTATTAGGTAACTTCTTACAAGGCAAGTCTTAGGCTCCAAGGAATTGTAATTATTGTCCAACCAACAAAGAATTAAGTTTGGAACTCTATAAATAGGTACCTAAGTTATGGGTTGGAATATATGAAATTGAGAGAGATGTAATCTCATGAGTGACTTGATGGGTAGAGATAATTTATGGGTTAGTAGAGTAGGAAATATTATTAGCACTAGTAGCGAGGAGACAGACTCGTGGAGAGGTACATGGTGAAAAGACATGTGCAGGGTGTTGGTACTCTTCTGTGTAATTTTTTATCCTAGTTAGTTTTGTTGTAATATCTTTATGGAAATTATAGTTGAATCTCTTCTCATCCGTGGATGTAGACTGATTTTGGTTTATTCATGTTAAATCTTATGTTTGTATTTTCTTTATTGCTTTAATATTGGATCTTGATGTTCAAGCATTTCCGCTGTTCCAACAAATTGATATTAGAGCCAAAGATGAAAAAGATCCAAAAAAACATGAACAGTCTCGAGTGCTGCAACGGGTTTCAATTGCAGGTGAAATCAATTTGCTTAGTTGGTCACAATGGTAAGAAAATCTTGACTAGTTACACGGCATGTGAAATATAAAGAAACTGAAGTACAATGTGTTTATGAAGGGTAATAATGTCATTCAATTTTAAAAAGGCAAACGGAGAAAAGGAAAATGTGAATCTTATCTCCGTTACTTTCACATATATATATAGCGAGAGAGAGAGAGAGAGAGAGATTAATGGGTGCAATGTAATAGAATGATGTGCACCCTTACCCTCGCATGGAAGAAGAGTTGGAAATTGAGAAGGCCGTCTATCAGTTGACTTGAGAACTATATCCCTCGAAACCCAACAGCATATCCCTGCTTTGGAGCCACCACCAACGAAGAGGAACAGAAACATCCAGCTGGGGATGCCAAATGAGAAGGCCCCTCTATCTGTTGACTTGAGAACTGCTTGGTGCCCATTCAATTCAAATCAAACGTTATGTAAGTATTCATACAGAAACAGCAAAGGATGGTTCTTTGGGTCTTTTCTTTTTGGATTTAATTACTCAATTCAAGGTTTGTTCTTCCCTATCATAAAAACATTAGCATCCACAAAATGGGAAAAGTCAAATTGAAAAAGGCTCTCTAAAGTACACCATTTTTTCATTTGCGAATGGCATGAAGAACATAAATGGCAAACCAGTACTTTGGAAAGCCAAATAGGTCTAACAAATCAATAAAGGGCTAGTTATTTTAGGCAAAAATATGGAGCAGTAACAGGTTTCAAACATCTCTCTTTTATTCAAATCCAAATCATCCCTCCATTCATGTATTGACTGTTCCAGACTCGAGGTGCGTGAGCATTGTTAAACAAACTTTGTCACTGTCACGTCCCCATCGGCAGGCAGCCCTTTCAGGGGTTCCTCAGGGGCCGATTCACTCTGCATAGATTTACTGAACCCAGAAAATAAGTCGCCATTGAAGCAATAAATTAAAACACTTTCGGAAAGCCTCATAAGGTCTACTTCATACGGGAGAGCCTTAAACGATTAAAATCCGTTCCCACTATGAGGTGACACATCCAATTCTCTTGTGAGAAAACTACAGTAACATCACAACAATTTGCCACACAACAAACTCAATTCCTAGGGCAAAGGCTAAGGAGAGCTTCTACAGTAGCAAGTAAAAAATCATGGACGATAAGCATGTGAAATGAATATAATATATACACCTCTAAAATACATCAGTTGAACTCAACAAGAAGAAACAATCTATAACAAAGTTGAAAAGGTACAGAACCATCGTCTCCCTCAGGAATTCAGTTAAAACTTCAAAGGTTGAGATCTGAGGAGCACGCGATAGTGTTGGTTCCACCATGTTTCCGGGCATCTTCATTCTTCTTTTCATCCAATTGAAGTAATTAGAAGAATAGAATGTTGGTGGAACTGCAATACATCCGTGCAGTAACAGGCAATTCAGTCTCCTGATTTCATGTCTCTCAATCCACTCATTATATATTACTCTTTAACTTCTGTAGTACTTAACAAGTCCATATAATGCCATGGCAACAAAATATCAAATACTTACAATTAGTGAGCGAAACGAGGTTGTAGAAAAATGTGTTTGTTAATATTAATTCAGTTTGTGTACAATCGTATGTTACAATAAAAATAACAAATGAAAAATAGGGGACCCGCTACCTCTATAAAGTGGATCAAAGAATATAACAACAATATGTAGTCAAATTATGAAGTATTAGAACCTGTTACATCTTGTTCTCATTGCAGTCTGCAGCCTTGTTCTTCTGCTCTCATACAAAGGAGCCCCCGTCTTATCCTCTGCACATGAAAAATCCCAGAAAAGTAATCAAAAGGAGTTTTAAATTATTAAGGTCAAAAACAAAACAAAGTGAATCAGGAAATATCCAAGTTGGCACATAATTACGGGCTACCAGTGCAGCACAATTATCTCCCAGCTCCCCTCCCCCCAACATTTCATTACTGCGACATTGGAGGTCCATACTCCACAATCAACCTAATGGTTGTAGGTAACATAACCAAATTTTGGCCTCTGTCCAAAATGCAGGGTACATTAAGAGTAGTGCCAGCAGAAGCTTATAAAGACTAAGTCATGATATTTTATATACACTAACTACACGATGCAGTGACCAATGATTATGATCATCTTAGCTGGGTTATTGGCATAAGAATTTTTCTAAATAGGATTTGGTTTAGATTGTTGACAAGTACCACATAACTTTTTAATGGATTAAGATCCAATACCTCTTTTGTGTCTCTTATGCGAAGAAGATTCAATCTCTCTGTTGGCTCTCGATTAGTTAGAGTAGCCAGCTGCAACCAGGTGGATATTAGTAATAGTTTATAAAAATCATATTTAAGTACTAACTTGAATGTATACAAAGTACGGATACCCAAAAACTGAAGCGCTCAGGATCCTGTGTATTGGGCATCATTACTTCTGCATTATAGAGTTCCAGAAGTCGTCTTCTATCTGCATATGATCTCTATTTTGTGAACCACAAGATTAATAGTGAAAATGCCACATTAATTGAAGGTGTGTGAAACAATTATTTTGTTTATGCAATCGGTAGAATATTTATAAAAGAGATTGCTTTATTGTCTCAATGTAGTACCAAAGCTTTGGACTGAATCCTTCCTTTTTCAGGCCCATAGTTGCCTTTGGAAGCCAAAAAGGGAAGGAAAAAAAGAAGAAAAACCTTCAGCTGATAACAAATATAACTATACATGTGCTCCTCACATTAAAAGGAAGTGGTATTTTCCCCTAAATTATCAAGAAAAATTCCCTCTAAATTAACACTAAACATGATCTGTTTTTAAAAAACAAGAATTAGCTACCACTAAATAGTAGTACATTTGCTAGTTGATTGTAGTAACAAACTGAAGGTTATAATTTATATTTTCAGTACTTTTTTTTTGGGTCAAGAAAAGACTCCAACAAAGGGAATTAATGAAGAAATTTGCCAAATACTGATGTTATTTTTACTTTTTCCTTAGAAAATGACCTTATTACCCAGCATGGAACAAATGGAAAATCTAATTGGATTGAAATTTGCCCCATAAATCCAAGGTAAATTCTCATTTTATCATCCCTTCCCTTTAATGTTTTACCTTGCTGTACTGCTTCTTGTGCATTCCTCATCCATGACCGAGCATGTTGTGCAACATTGTTTGTCATTTCCTGCAACTGTAAGCTTCCAGAAATTAATAAAATGATAATCAGGGTAAATATAAGCTGAAGATTTTTTCTATTTCTGCGGCAGTATGTGTGCAACATATGTGGTTGTCCCAAATGTAGGAGGGTGGCAATGAACTTTGTGGCTTTAATACTTTATTTTGACATTGACAATACTAGAAAAACAAAAGAGCTGAGCTTGCTTGCATTTCATGTTTGATTGAATCCATGTGGAATTTTGATTGCAATATCTTTTTGAATGAAGATGTTTGAAAGCAACGAGCAGTTGGCACAATTCTCAGATTTAATACATACATCTTCAGGACTGGTCCAAGTGTCTTGTTTAAGTTCATCCATATAAAACCTAGGCTTGAATGTGTTTAGAAGCAAAAGTGTAAGGTGAGGGATTTCACTCCCTACAGGGCAAGGCTTATGATTCTTGAAAGAAAATTTTAACTCAACCATCCCCACAACTGCTTGATCCATGTGTCTAAGTTCCCCCATCCATAATATAGCCTTTGACCAAACATATTTAAAGGCAAGATCATAAGAGGAGGCGTTTTACTCCCGACAAAGCAAGTCATAAGCCTCTCAAGGAAAAAGGTTTAAGCCTTTCTATTCTTCGTTAGTTATGTATATACTTCTATACATATACATATAGTTATATATAACACAAAAGAAAGAAAATAATAGAAAATATATAATTAAAACTACAGAATGTTTTAAGAGCATACTAGAGGAAAAAAAAATTAAAAAAAGTCTAGCATTTGATTAATTTATAAACGTTGTTGGTTACTTCAAAACTGAAAAGGAGAGGGAGGGGAATAAAGAAATTTTTTAAAGAAAAACTAAAAACCCACTTGCATTAAGCACATGAAAAGCCTTCTATAGTCATTCAGTCTAATATTCCTTCACATTTTTATTATCTTCTACCCATAAAAAACTAAAAAGTTGAAAACATCACCAATGCTCCATTAGCCCAATGGTATAACCTCTCCTCACTCAAAGGGGAGGTAAGGGGTTCAAGCCCAGCAGTAGACAATTTGTGAAATGCTTGCTTAAGAACTTGCCTTAAAAAAAAAAGAACGAAGATCCAATATACTTACATCTTCTCGCTCTTTTGACCCTTCTGAAGGATATATATCACGTACCCAATCAACTTCAGCAACACGATACCTTGATTCATTGAATAACACAGAACCAACTCAAAAACTTTAGATTATGAAAATTTTATTTTACATGAATAGGCATCAGTTCAGATACATGACACCCAAGGATGAATATACTAACCCATCTTGATCCCAAGTTCTGAGGATACGGAATCTCCTACGACCTTCAACCTGCATGGAATTGTATCTTATTATTGAACAATCAAAACGACCAACAAATTGTAAACAGTATTCAAAAGAAATGAACTTCACTCCAAAAATTTATGCTAGAATTGAACAAGTTCCCTCCGAAACATTTTTGGTTTCATCCTTGGCTGCTTAACACCATATTAATTCACTAGCAAATTATGAATTAATTATGAAACCAGCTGCCAAGACAAAAGGATGACAAACTCCTTTTCAAGTGCTAATTGGAAAGCTTGACCGACTTCTCAATGCATTCATACAAGATCATGATATGATTGCCTTTCTTTTTCTTTTCTTTTTTTATTCTTTATTTTTCTTAGCTTATAGGAAATCTGATTCTTGTGTTGATCAGATGGTTAACACAGTATTTAGAGTCCATTGGAAGTGACCTCCCAATATTAAACGTGGATGCTTCATTCCTTCACAATGAAGAAGTATAGAATTTGATATCGATCTTATGGATATTTGCATTTGAATTCTCTTTGATAATCAGTTAGCTGCATATTTAAATCCTGATTAATTTTCAATTCAATCAATTACACTTGCAATCAAGCAATAAACCAAAAGGAGAGTAGAGTAGAGCAAAGGCACAAGATTTTTGCGTGGAAAACTCAAAAAGGCAAAAAGCCATGTGACCTAGTCTACTCACGCACAATCCACTATACAAGAAACATATTAAAACTAGGTTAATAGTTCACTCACCCTCGAACCCCTAGTTACCTCTAGGCACAGATGATGCCAAATTTCTACCAAAAGTCTCCTAGCCATCCACCCGTCCGCTTGTCTATTGAAAATTTATGTCTGACAGTTTCGATCAATCGAGCCTCAACTGAAGCCTACTAAACACTCCTCAATCGACCGGCCCTTCGATCAAGGCATAGTAGATTTTAAAATAATTATCAATATATTCTGGTTTTGAAAAAACTTTTTTCCTAGAATGTCCTGATTGGTCGACTATTCGGTCATGCCTTCTAAAAGCTCCTCTCAATTAATCCACTTTTCGATCGATGCACACTGCTTTCAAGTTCAAAAACTAGTTTTGAAAAATATAAAAAAGTTGAGTTTTGAATAACCTTTTTTTCAGAAACACTTTCAAAGTATATTTATGGTTCCAAGAAACAGAAAAATAAGTCAAAAGGTAACACATTAATTTATAGAAAAAGTATACATCGTGAGATAAGATAAGATATAATCAAATCAAGAGTAAGTGATAAAGAAGAAGAAAAAGAGAAGAAAGCGAATGAAAGAAAAAGAGAGAGAGAGATGGGGAAAGAGAGAAAGAATGAAAGAATACTTTCATTCTTCCACCACATTCAACTTATAATAACAAGTTTCAGAAATTACACATAAGCCCCAAAATTATATAAGTAATAACAAATAAGCCCCTGACAACATGTTTCTCTTTTTAGGGGACACTCACCTGATCGGGATTCCAGCGATGAGTAATTTCTTTACTATATATTAATCTCTTACCTCTAGGGAAAAGAAAAAAGATTCATCCCACTGTGTTACAAACTGTTAAATTACTTGTTGAATGTTTCATCTTGGTTTACTTTGTTTATACTTTTAGCCTCTAGGGACTTCCTATCTGAATCTTTCATGAATCAGTGCACACAAAGACAAAATGAATGCTAGCAGGAACATATAGTATATTTCACCTCTAGAAAAAAACGTCCATCCGGAAATGGCTCACACCTACATAAAAAGAAACACAAAGATTTATTATAAGTCAAGTTTGCATAAGCTGCGGCGTCTAGAAGAACAATCTGCAGATTAAAAAAATGGTGAAGTATATGATATCAAACACATACTCAGTAATCTCCACTTCACAAGCAACATCAGCTATGGAACCTGTCGTAGAATCAATCACAACCTACATGATTAATAGACAAATCACAACCCAAAAACTGAGGAATGTGAGACCTTTTAATATACCTTATAATGAGGAAAAGGGAAAGAAAAGGACCAGTCACAATATTCTACCATTCCCATTCGGTGATTTCCTTCCATTATCCTCCTCACCTGTCATTCAATTAAAATGAGAAAGAGATTATTATAAGTCGTACCATGAAAATAGTTGAATAAAAATAATGTGTGATGTGTGAGAATTTTGATTCAGACAGAAAATCATGTCACCAACTTCATAATCAGCAGGAGTCTGATGAAAGTTTACTTGGAAAAATCTCCATAATCAACTACTTTTTGTCAACTCTAACTCTCCTCGTCTAAGTTTGAATTTAAATATGTTATCAACTTTGATTGATTATAGGCATGGGACCAGAATGTATAGAGTATAATAGCATGCTTCAACCCAAAAGTAGAAGCTTTATCATTTCTGCTTAATGGAAACCATTGAATATCCTTCTGTCATTGCTCTAAAACTAGTGGAAAAAATTCCATATCACTATAGTGTTCACATATCAGATAAGGCAATAGGATAAGTGACTAACAATGCTTGCAACATTCATAACTACGACTGAAGCAACTATAAAATGATCTCACGGAGATCAATTCAATGCTAAAACAGAGTCGAGCATTCTATTCTCAAATAGGTACTATTCCTTGGATTATTTGCACATACGCTGAGTACACAAAAAGTGACATTATTTACCACTTATCCTTGTGTAAAAAATAAAAGATGAACTGCAAGTAGTACAAAAGGGGCAAAGGCAGCCAAAAGTGTCACAACTAAAATCTGTTAGACAAATAATAAAAAATGTTAATGGTACTCTAGATTTTGAACTAAGATATTCTATTCATTCTAGTAGTCAACTAGCGGGGTACATTGATGTTGATTGGGCAGGTAGCCTAGACGATAGGAAAAGTACGTCAGGTGGATCCTTTACTTAGGCACAATGCTTTACTTTGGCACAAACTTCGTAGCTTGATCTAGTAAGAAACAAACTTCAATTTCCATGTCTACGGCTGAAGATGATATAGCATCTGTGAGTTGGTACACAATTTCTCTAAATCATAAAAAATATTAACTGACTATGGAATTAAACAAGGAATAATATATATATTTTGTGATAACCCAAGTACTATAAATATTTCTAAAAATCTAGTGTTACATTCTATAACTAAACATATAGCCACTAGATACCATTTTATTCAAGAGCTTGTTGAAGAGCATATCATTAACTTAAAATTAGTTCACACTGATAATCAATCAGCAGATTTATTGACAAAACTATTAGACCCAACTAGATTAGCCTCATGGTTCGAAGACGTGAACACAGATGTGATGTAACGAAGTCAGGACTGTATCAAGCATAAAGTAACGGAATCATCTGTAGCAATTGTGAAATATTTTCGACCTTAAACAGCTTTAGATGTGCTGACTTGGCCAATTCCCTATGGACTCAGCCAATTCACCAAGGACTTGACTAGGTCTCATGTGATTCCGATTCTCATTGATATATCGGTGAATATTGGACTCAGCCGAGTTCGTTACATCTCGGCCATAACCACAGTGTCCGATAACCAATTGGGATTGATGCCAGTGAGATCCACAATGGAAGCTACTCACAAAGACAATTAATCGAAGAATGTAGGAGTAAGCAAAAGGATCTACATATGGTCTTTATAGACCTAGAAATAGCTTATGTTAGGGTGCTCAGAAATATAATTTGGTGGGCTTTACAACGAAACAAATCCCTCCAGATATGATAGAGATTATTCAAGACATGTATCTAAACACCAAAACTAGAGTTCGAGCTACATGTGGCGAGACTAGAAATTTTCCTATAAACGTGGGGTAACACCAAGGTTCTGCACTGAGTCCATATATATTCACAATAATTCTAGCTCAGATTACAAAAGAGTTAAAAGAACATATTCCTTAATGCATGTTGTTTGTTGATGGTATAGTACTATTGGACACTTCTAAAGAAAACTTTGCAATTAAATTAGAAAGGTAGAGAAACGCATTAGTATACCACTGACATCTCTACACCCATGTATTTATATTAGTACGAAAAATAATTTACAATAATATTCAAGTGGTAAAATCCCACTAATTACGCCCCCTAATTATGCTCATTACAAGAATATTCCTACGTATTCCATCAAGCATAGTAGGGATGCCTTTCATATATCTTTGGTGTTTTAATTTTGTAAGTTGAAAACGTCATACACTGACTTTTCAGATAGAAAAACCTATTGTAGGGGGCGTAATTAGTGGGATGGACGAAGTCATAGACAAGCGACTCTTTTGATATTTATTTCCTCAATGTATAAAATCGTTTGCTCTTCCCAACTTTCAACTGCATTAATTTATTCACTAAAAGCTTTAGCCAATAAACAAATGGTTCTACTCGTTGGTTGAGAGCATTGTTCATACCATGGTTTACGTAAGGGTCCTCCGGTGTAAATTATGCTAATTGATAATCTATACAGATGTAAATGGTTCAGGACCTCAGGTATGATATGGTGAAATTATGTCAAGCCAAAATAGCAACATTATTCAATTTTTATATACAACAGCAAAATTCAAAGAGTGAAAACTAGTAATTTTCTGATCAGCTTACCATAAGTCTGTACCGAGGTTCAAATATGTTGAGTTGAAGCCTCTGACATGGGAGGACAACATCCATGACAAAGAGGGGCATCAAATCAACACCAAGGTTCATCAAACTGGCATGCTCCAACTTCCTTTCAGCATACTCCTCTGGAAAATTCTTCTGTATTATGTTGTTCAGCGTTACACTGATAAAAGTATAGTAAACATTATACAAGTTAAAGAACATAAAACAGGATTTGATGCACACAATAAATTATAAAAATGATTAATAAAAATATTAGGAATTCAGTAACTTCAAGAATATTTACTTTCATTGGTCCATTAACCTATGCTGGATGCTTGGCATATATTCATGGGAAAAAACAATCAACTTAATGGACTCAAAGAGGGAAAAAGAAATATTGTAATCCTTTTTTATAATCAACTTTCTGCTCCTCCATTTCATTCAAAAAAAATTTTAAATTGGAAAATGGTTCCCTACAAACTAAATTTTTAATAGCAAAGCCCACAAGCTAATTGGTTATGATTGTGAGGATGGATGGCCGCTTTTGGATCAAATACATGTGCCCAATGCAAAAAGTATATGCAGGAGAGGAAGCATATCCTTTGCTATCTAGCCAACACAAACATTTCAATTAATTACTATCATGTAAGCAGCTCACCTGATTGAACATGTTCTAGGACTTATGAACAGAACTGTCCGGCACAGTGGACATCTATTACCTAGCATTTTTCATCCAAGGGTCAGTACAAGCAAATCAACATTATGGTTCTATAAAAGAATAGGTAAAAAGAAAAACTGCAAAAGGATCACCTCGGTCCATTGCCTGAAACAAGCATGATCGGCAAAATGAATGTCCACAAGGAGTTGTAATTGGGTCATAGAGTAACTTCAAGCAAAGAGTACAATCGAAGTCATCAGTACGTTCTGCTTTCCCATGGCGGCTTCCCCTGTTTATACCGGCCATTATTCTCTCCAAATTCTGTAGAGAAGCCTGAAGAAGATTGCTACATAACAAAAGAAAGAAAAAAAAAACACAAAAGCAATTCATATGTCAGAAAGTGAATGACAAATGGGTCTTACACAAGTAATATCATCCATAACTACATTTTAGAACTAGAGAAATATTCAAAAATCAGAGTACACAATATTATATTACCTAAGAGGATCAACCTGAAGGCCAGAAAGAATAGTATCCCGGGCCAGCTCATATCTTTCTAGCTGCCAGTTAAAAGCAAGTTGAATTTGATATAAGAAAAGGTAATATCCACCAATAAAATATCTAAAAAAGGTATTAAATCAACAAAAAATATTTGAACAGTCTGTTCCAGCAGGAATACTCTCAATATTAACATAGAAAAAGTGATAGCAGCAATAAATTTTTGTAAATGTGAAATTTCACTTCCTAATACCAATAAATCTTTAGTAAGATGGGTTAGTTAACGCTTCTTCATAGGTGTAAAATTCTACATGCTATAAGAGCAGTAAGAACATGAACTTATTACGCTAAAACTTATGCCACATAGAAGGAGAATGGAAGTCTCATAAATCAATAATTATGAGTATTATATTATAACAAATAATAATACACCCCTAATTCCATAGAGATTTATACCAACTACATGGAATTGGTTATAGGAGTTCATTTTTCCTACTCTGCTCTCTCCAAGTACTATTAGTTTATAACATCTTCTCCTATGGACTAAACCTACCCACATTCAATCTGGTCTTTCTTTCCTCAAAAACCTTAACTTGAACAAAATCAACACTTATAGTACAGTTATTTCTGAAACTGATCATACCATCTAGGATGAGTTCCCTCATGTTGTCCTTATATAGGTGCTGCCACTAACTTTCTAAAAATGTATCCAGTTTTAGTTATACTCTTCTTAACAAGTGGTCAATTTCCTCGAGAATGAGGCAATGAATAACACAAAGATTGAGAAATATTCTCTGCAAATTTCAAGTCATCAATGAAAGCACTGCTAAAGAAACAGGAAAAGTTTTTTTACATGTAATCAATATATATAAACTAAAAAGAGAGAAAAGTAAAATGCATTTCTTCCATGGGAGATAAGACTCCCGAAAATGAATGCTTGACAATAAATCTTGTTACTGAAACCTTGTTCCACAAAATAAATTCTCCCTCACTAGTTACTTGATTATGCAACAAAGCACCTGTTAGGTCTGTTGAATGATTTATATTTAAGTTACACCCTCTCTAACAGCTTAAGCTTTTGGAGTAGATGGTTGTTAACATGGTATCAGAGCCAAAGGTCTCGAGTTCAAACCTCACCGTCACCCTAATTAAAAAATTGAAAAACACATGTTGGACCAAAAGAAGGCCACACGTGAGGGGGCGTGTTGAATGATATATATTTAAGTTACACCCTCTCTAACAGCTTAAGATTTTGGAGTAGATGGTTGTTAACAAGGTCAATAGGACTAATATTGGTAAATTTCATTCAAAACTTAAAGTTTGTATGCTTTAGTTTAGCTTTTGATTAGTATTTCCAAAATTTAGTTAATTTAGTGGGAAATCTCTGAAATTAATGCTACAACCAAGGGTAAAAAGGTAATTCCAACTTTCAATTATGCACTCGCCAATTTGGGTTCATATCCATGAGCATTGATACAATTAAGTTCTTCAAAATTACATGTTTGATGCAGTAAAATCCCTTTTAAAATGACAAAAAGAAAAACTGTTTTTGGTACTTTCCTTGATTGAAAATCCTATATTTATAACATTTACCAGGGTAAAAAAAAATAAAAAAATCATAAAACACATGAAAGCATATTCATGCCCAAGGCTTGACAGTTCGAGCATATTGAGTGCATCCTAGCAATCTTGCGTTGCTAAACTTACTTTCACATACTTCATCATTGCATCTAGATGGTGAGTGTTGATGTGAATGTTGATCATCATAAGTTTTTTGCTACATGGAGTAATCAACACCAGAGTTCAACAACACAAAGGACACTGTCATCAAAATCACTAGTCATGGAGATTGAAGTCCTAAAGAAGAAGTTGATCGCATGATGACCGGATATGTTGGCTAACAACTTCAAGGGCTTTGGTGGAGAGTCTCATGTAAGCCTGAGTATAGAGGTAACAAGGGGAATTTAGGGTTCTGGGAATCTGTGCAACCTAATTAAACTTATTTCTCATAATGGATTTGATCTGCCTGAACTAAACACCATGATTTTCCCCTTTGGGTTTCCATTTAAAAATCATAGTGTCCATGCATCACTGATGATTTATTTTTATGCTTTTACATATTTTTTAAGCATGATAAATGGATTTATATATATGATTTCTAGTTAGTTAGTTAGTTAGTTATTGAAACTCAGTTATGGTAGTTTAAATTCAAATGTAGCCAAGTTTGTTAATTAATCAATTAACACCTACTCAACCCCCTCTGGGTCTAGATCACAGCCTTGCACTAACTCTACATCAGAGCCTAGGGTTATGGTCCTCAGATTTCTCACTACCATTTATAGGATCACAAACAAACAGATGAACACCTTAAACCCAGACTCTAGGGTGACACAGTTTATGAATAACAAATACAAAGCTGAAAAGTAACATTTATATGACATTAAACAACATTTAAACAAGAAAATTCAACTAGATAGGGTTGACATGATAGATGCATGCAAAATTCTCAAGTTACTTTATATTCTAGTAAGAAAGTTATGACTCACACTTCTTAGCATTTAAGATGAATGAAGAAATTAACACTACTCTAAGGAATCATGTTTGCATATGTTGTCTATTTTAATATCTAACACATAGAGTTTACAAATTATGATTTATTAAATGTAGTTAAGGTCATTCCCTTGGCAAACAAAAAGTAAAAATGACGGTGATAGTAATAACACATAACATAAGAATAATCCACAGAAGAACTCCAAAGATATTGCAACACTGTCATCTCAAGATTCAATGCAATATTACAGCACTTTCACCACTCCAATGAAAAATACAATGCAAGAAGTTCCTATGAACTTCCAGTTTCCCTCAAGTTAAATTAGAAAAATGAGTTTAGCCGCATAAGAAGTAAATGGATCTAAGTATGCCAAACAATCAGTGTGCAAGACCGTCAAAATTGGCAAACCACAACAGACAAACTTTTAGAAAAGAGTGTGGTCTGCTTCCCAAAAACATGAAGACATCTCAGGATGCTTTACACCACACCTAAATATGACCAGGTAAACAATAAAAATCAATAAAGTAAAATATTCAAAGAAAGAGAAACTCAAGGACCTTCACCAGTAGATATGTACTCATAAGCAATACAGGCCAAAATTGTTGTTTCAAATTAGCATTTCTAATGGCAATCCAAGCTTCTGATATACAAAGGTGGAATTAACTAGAGTTTGGTTATGGTTAATTTAGGGATAGGCATGAAATCAAGGATAAAACATGCTAAAATTTCTAAATATAATTACTAATAATTCTACCACCACCTTTACATCTCAACAATTATTCCTAAAGCATCACAATTTCGATTTTATAAAAGAACCCCGTCTCATTGGTTTAGTGTGCATATAACGCCCCGGCATGTAGGCTTTGTAACAAACATCAGAAGGGGACTTTAGCCTCCACATCATGTTCAAATTTATACCTACAATGATCATGTGTGTGTGTGTATTAGCTAGTACAAATTTGAAAATTAAAATATGCAACATCACACACTTACCATAGTGAGTGAATTGGCCTTCAGAATGTAAGACTTTACAGAATTACTTCGGAAGTTCACCACTTTTTCCGCATCCTTCAGTGCAAGCTGAAATAATGGTTAAAAGTAATATAAAATGCAAGCAACATTTATGAAATGAGGAATGGGATTCTTTTGGCCATAGAAACAGTGAGGCAATAAGACATACCGCAGCATGTGTTGTAGGATCCAGCCCATTCAGTGCTCTATATTCAGAAGCTGATGCTGGTCTGTGTTTTAGATACTGACAAATCCTGGTTTAAAAAATAGAAGTTAGAAATATTTGTTGTCAATGCAAAACAATTTACAATAGTGGTGAATTGCTGAATTCAGTTTCATCTGAATGATGGTGGATGGTGGCAAGAATGCATCTAGTAACAACAAATGGAGTTGAAGAGTTGAATTGATCAAGAAAATAAATGGATAAGTATCATACAATACTTTTACCTAATATAAGCAGCGCATCGGTTGCTTAAAATAACAGGATCGCCCGGTTTAATGTTATGAGCTCTCGAGTAACAATTGATTGCCTGAAAAAGAAAACAAACTGATCAGCAATGAAGTCACAAGAAACGACATGAAACTAGAAAGTACGAACCATGATTGTCAAAGTCTGAAAATTCCTCAGTTAAAACTTTGCACTAGTTATTTGCCATGAATATTTTATGCTTTATGGTCAAATGGTAAAGATACTAAAATGAACCTTCTCATTTCTTGATTTCAGAAGGAAGAAAAATGCTCGAGTGGAAAACAGTTGCAGAAGGAAACGCTGATAAAAGACCCTGGAAAACATGATTACAGGAACTTTTGATCTATTTGGGGCATATAACCTTCCAAATATCACATTGTTCCAAACTTCTACCCTACCACCTTACCTCATGGGCAAAACACAATGCAATAAAGCAATAGCTGCACCCACATTAATGTGAAGGCAAGACCCCAAGAATTCATGGGGTTATCAGACCAACTTATGGTCAAGATACTTGACCATATGTTTCTAAACCAGAAGCTGCCTAATCGACCCAGAGTCAAGAAGAGATGGAATCTTGAGACAGGCTGATAAAACCCCAAAGAGCAAAGACCAACCAATGTTCAAGGATTACCAACCTAAATGGTTGAGATCTGAATATCAAGGGCCTCTAAAAGAGTTGTGTTTGATGGATTCTAAAAAATGAAGGCCTCGATCATGAGAGTGGCCTGTGAAGAGAATCATAAATGAAAGCCTATCCATGATCGAGACATAAGGCTTTCTACTAGAATGATCGCAGACCAGTAAAGATCAAGAGAGCAATCCAAAACAGGACGGTCAAGGACAAAGGATCAAGATCATTAGACCAACCGATAATCAGAGGAAAAGATCTGAAATATACTAGTCAAGAAATTTTGAATCTAAATATCAAATTAAGAATAGTCAAAGAGTCATTTCATATCAAACTCAGAAGGACAAAAGGTCTAAAGCTTAAAAAGAGAGAGATCTCACCAATCACCAGCATAAAAAGCTCAGAGGAGGCAGTGGTTAGATGAACCAATAGGTCTGATAGGGATCAATAAAATAAATCAAAAGGGGCAGAGCCAAGCTGTAACCAGACATAGTAGGTGGGAAAAGCTCAAAATGGCTAAACCATAATAAATCAGATAACCTTGAAAGAATCTGAAGTTTATAACTAAAAATGATCATGACAAAAAAGAACTTTGACTAACACATTGGTAGGCATGTAAGCTTGTCAAAAGCTAAAGATCACGAGATTGGTCATAAATGGTCACTTCTAACCTCTGAACACAACCACCACCTAAGAGAAATGGGCTGAGAGAGACAACACCAGACCAAGGCCTCTATAAATACTCACCCAAGTCCCACAAGCAGGGGTCCAGCATCATCATCCAACATGCCTTTGTTATCTATCTTATCTATCTTCCTTAGCTAATCTGAGCTTAATGTTTGTCACTTTACAACTTTAATCTATCATCTCTATCTATATCTTTAGTTCCTTAGCTGCTTTAGCTCCTTAGCTTTAGTCCAGTAATTTTAGCTAGCTGTAATCTAGTTGCTTAGCACCTTAACTCTCTAACCTGTAATATTAGCTCTTGTAACTTGCTTCCAACATTAATTAAATCCCTTGCTTCATGAATTTGTTGAGTTATTCATTCTTCACTTCATCTTAAAGTCTCCTTATCAGATTTTCATTCCCAAAGATTAAAGTACTTGTTTCAAGGCAATGTAATACCGATGGGAAGGGTCATTCTTACTCCCCTTCAGTCACCTTAACTTTAAGAAGACCCACTCACAGTCTAAAATAGGAATAGTTTGGCTTACCCACATTTGTGTTTGATAGATGCCCATGTACTCTACCCAGACCCATGTTATGAGCCAAATAATCTTGGCTTGCCACGTGGGACTTGGAATTGTGACCCAAACAATATGATCCTACCCTTGGAAATAGATATCTAAAAACAAATGCCTCTACTCCAATGAGAAAATTTCTTAGAATGTGGTAAATGTTAGTAAAGATGGGAGCAGAAGTCCATTGGCTTTTGCTGAAAATGTAAAGAACAAATAAGTAAATCCTAATTTGTTTAACATAAAGACTTGAAATAACTAAGAAAATACTATACTATAGCTTGGTTTATCTGAAAATGACCCAGAACTGCATTGACAGCTGCTGTCAGTTATACTTTTCTAAAAATATTTCCAAATTATCATGGATAAGTCCCGAATCTTAAATTGTACCTTTTTTTTTTTTTTTTTTTTTTTTTTGATAAGTAAAAATCCTAAATTGTTCTTGGCCCCAAATAAAGCACAAGTGCTAATTCCCCACCATAGAAAAATGAGCTATAAATAAATTTGGTGCTAAAAAGCTGAGGGGAAATAATTACACCCTGACACCAGATATGCATGGTTTGTCAAAAGCTTGATGACCATATCCATAGGCAAACTATTCCATAAAAAGAAAAGCATCAAGAACTTTATTAAGATTAAAAACATGCATGTCATGAAAATTACCTCCTTGAAAGGTAAACATGACAGTTTTTTTTTTGTTTCTAACAATTTCCGCATATGATTCACAGAGAGAACAATGAAAAGGAAACAACTCACAGCATAAACAATAACTCTGAAAGCAAACTAGATAATCTGAAAAGAGAACTATACAACCTTGCTGTTACAAGAACTAAAGTTGAAAGTATACCCTTTCTCTGAAAATAAATTAACATATCCTTGCTGTACCAAGAACTGAGTACCCTAGGACTCTTACATGAAATGGCTTTAGGTGCCAAAATTAAAAGTCCAAGTAAGAAAGAATCCCAATTGAAAAAATTTCTCCCTTGCCAGAAACGTATAGTTAAGAAATTTGTGTGCTGATGTTTCTGTCATTGATCTTCACACGAGGATCTGGAATAGCTTAGAAGAATATTTAATATAGACTTCTCCAGAAAAGCAATAGTAGTTCCCTGCGAAGCCTCATTTCTCACCCAAATAAACCAGGTAATTATGCAAACACTTACATATGTTGTTTAATAGTCGTTTATATTTGGAAAATATAAGACAAACTTTAATGTGTTATGATGCTAAATTGTTTAAAACTGCTTAACAGTGGTACATCCAGCAGTCCTTGGATTTTTGTTGTACTGATAGTAAAGTCAACCCTGAATCCAAAGATTTAGAAACAGAAGGGCTTGTATGCTTGAGACACGAATAGACCACTGTGAAAGTTGATTGCAAGACATGGGTGAACAAAATGATCCAAGTGGTCCAACGAAAATTATTCGACCCATTCCATCAATCACAGATCCTTAGATGCATTAGCTAGATTCATACCGCAAAATTGATTGAATGCATTAAATTAAGCTCAACGAGACCAGTACGAATTGTAACATTGACACTTTGACAATAATTTTTGACTTTTTGTTTATAATGAAGTTATTACAGACTATGGAACCTTACCAAGATGGGAAAAAACTATGATCAGCAGCGTTTAGATTAAGCCCGAACCTCTTTTAGTATTCACTTTGCACATAAATGGAAAATACTAGTTTTGAATTACAAAAAAAATCTTTCTTTATGGTCAGTAGACCAAGAACATACCTTAATGAGGGAAAGATGCAATGCAATTAAAATTAAACCAAGAAGAAAGCATAAGAAAAACAATCAAAATTGAATAGAAATCAAAAAATTCAAGAATTTCACCTCTTCGAAACGATTGTCCCTGAATGCCTTATTCCCTGCCTGCATGAGATCAAAAACCTGAGTAAATCGTTCCCATGAAATCGATAACTCTCCTTCATTGGCCTGCATTTCAATTTGTCAACAATCACATTCAAATTCACAAACGCATTAAAAAATTCCTCAACACAACTAATTGTTTGCTAAACTGAACTGAATAGTTAGTCCTGTAAGGAAAAAAATTATTCTCGAAACCTTGATTCCTTTGTTTATCTACATTTTCTCAGCAACCAAACAAGGGAAATAAAAAGAAACAAAGCAAAACTCACCCAAACGAACTCTTCCACATCGTCCAGACCTTCCAAGCTCAGTCCAGAGGACGCCGCTTCGCTTGACATCAGAAACAGATAGAGAGAAAATTGCAGAGAATTGGAGAGAATCGATTGAGAACGCGAGAGAGCAAGAAGAAGACGAATCAGTAGAATTGGAAGAGATAGTAGTGAGAATGGAGAACGACGACGTTAAGTGGTGGGAAGGTGAAGAGAATCGTGTTCTTCCCTGTATCCTTCATTGCATATACGGACTATATTCATTCACGTGTTTCTCTCTCTTCACTTTCTCTCTCTATATCGACAAGTCTATATTCTCTCTATATCTAAACTCAAAAGTTCTTTTCCAATTGGCGGATGGATTCCGAAAGTGAGAGATTTCGTTCTCAGCACTGTTTTACAGCGTTTTTGCAAAGAAACTTCTTCAGTGTAATATCCGTCTCTCACACACACACACTCTCTCTCTCTCTCTCTCTCAAAATATATATATACACTCATACACGTAAATAATGTATTAGTGTGTGTATACGCACGCGACACATTGGTTGTTCAACCGTCTGATGTACCAAATTCTCTTTCTTAGAGCGTGCAAACAACGATAAACCGCGCGTGTTTCTTGCAACTCGGGAAGGATAGAAAGAGATTGTGCAAATTACACGGAGTTCCCTGTTGGTTGCCATAACTACACCCGTGATTTGAAAATTTACTTGAACCTCTCCTCAAAATGAAAATATCTTACACGGACCTCCCTTATGAATGACAAATCATCAAATACACTAACAAACGAGTCAAATTTACTAAAATATCCTTCATTTTCTATGATAAATGACTAAAGTACCCATATAAATAATATATATAATATATCTGTAAAGTAGTGTACATAAAAATGATAAATTTACTTATCTACCCTCATATTGTTATATCTATACATACATCTATATATGTCTCCATCTTCATCTTCAGACACTGTAGATCGCCGGAGTTTGCTGCAAATCGATGTTGGCAACCACCAGCAAAATTGGCAACGCAACCACCATCCCCATAACCACCACTGTTCCCACCATATAACCACCACCCACCCCATAAACACTTGCAATCCTCACCGCAACCACTATTCTCACCCCATAACCACTTAGCAACGTAACCACCATCCCTATAACCACCACTGTTCTCGCCTCACAACCACCACTCACCCCACAACCACCTGCAATGGACTGGTTATTGTACTTTACTTTTTAAGAGTCTGAGGATTTGGGATACAAGTTTGTTCTTCTTGATTGGATTGTCCACTAGAATATTACCAAAGGGAACACTATTTGCGCTAAAATATGGAGCATAGGAAAGAAAGAACTCTAGTGTAGGAAAAAAAGGAAAGCTCTAATCTTTTTCTGAATCAGTATAATTTACAACACATTTCGGCGATTAGGGGTCGTGATTTAGGGGATTAGCAGAGAGATGGTCGGGTGTGAATGTCATGTGATTAGGGGTCGTTACTCGCCATTGCAGACCCTCGCCGTCGCCGCCGTCGTCACATATCGTCGTCGCTGCAGATCCAGCTAATGAACCACCACATATCCACAACAAAATCCATCACATCTCCACGACAAAACCCACCACCAACCAAATTGGTATTGCCACCACCATCCCCGCCACACAACTACCACCATAAAAAAAAAAAAAAAAAAAAAAAAAAAAAAAAAAAATGACCACCGACACCACTATAACCTGTGTTGGTATCACCATCGCGATCCCCACCCACAACCACCACCACCATCCCCACTGGCCAAACCATATCCGGTTGGTGATTCAACCAAGCCAAACCAGATCCGATTGTATAAATCATCAAAGATAGGCTTCGTTTGGATACATAGTAGAGAAAAGAAAGGAAATGATTATAAGAGAAAAGAAATGAAATGAAATGAAATAATAGCTCTAAATTATATTCATGTTTGGATAGATAGGAAAGAAAAGAAAAGAATTGACAATATTGTTATTTGGATAACACAAATGAGAGAAAAAAAAAAAACAATTGGCAATAATGAAATTACCATCTTACCCTATTTGGTGATGGGGTTGAACAGTTTCCATTTTCTCTCTCTTGTTTTACTTGGGTTCAGTTCTTCATGTTCTAGGGTTGATGTTCTTCTGTATCTTTTGCTCCACCTGTCTGTGGCTCATCGTAGAGGACTCTAATTGTCTATATTATTGCCTTTGCTTTCTCGATTTTATTTTTATTTGTCAAACACTTTTTGGTCCTCTGTGTGTTATTTCGGCTTCCGTCAATTGATCTTTTGCAAGAAATAAATAAATAAATAAAAATTGATCTTTTGCACTTCAACTTTATGCAACCCACATTTGTTAGATTCTTAATTTCTTTAAGTGCAACTTACCTTGATTATTTATTTCTTTTATTTAATTATTTCTGAGTATTTTCCTATTTCTCTGATAAACAAGTATTGGAACAATATTTTTCAATACAATTTGGTATATAGTAAATTGGGTGCGTCAATCTGCTGACGGTAATCGCCTCCTTCCAAATCACAGATCCTCTCTCTCATCTCTCTCTTCACCCGAAGCCCCCTCAGAAACCCTAGCCCCCATCTCATCTCTCTCCTTTGTTCAACCCCATCACCACTGCGAGCCACACCTTCTCAGTTTCTCTGTATTTTCTGGCGCTATCTTAGGCCGCCGTGCCTTCAGCAACTCCAGCGAGCTCTTGGCCTCATCGGCCGAGCCTCATTCTCCATCGCACGTCTCCTTCTCCATCTCGGTCTTTCTCTTCTCAAGTCGTTTACGGCCAAGGAGAACTCGCCACTGCAAGCACCGATGATCTCTGCAACTTCCGGTGACTTTTTCGTATCGTCATCAGCATCCATGGGAGGGCAACCTTTGTCATTAGCTCCATTTCTCTCTAAATCCCTCCAAATCTTGTCACATTTGGAGGAACTCCAAATGAGGGATTTGGAGGGATAGCTATCCTTCCAAATCTTGTCAAATCATTTCTTTCCCCTTCAAATCTTCCCATCCAAACACAACACTCCTTATCCTTTCCTTTCTTTTCTTTCAAAATCCCTCCAAATCTTCCCATCCAAACGAAGCCATAGGGATTGCAAATTACACCATGTCCCTTTTTCTTAGAAAATTTGCACTTTAATGGGATCGACACAATGATATCATAATGACATCACAAACTAATGAACACATTTCCAAAAAAAAGATAAAATAAAACAATAAAATAAAATAAAACAAAACAAAAGTATTAATAAGCAAAATAAAAGGGATTCGATGATCATTAATTAGTGCTTCATTATTCATTAACTAATTGTGATTCAAAACGGAATAATCAGTTCATATATATATATATATATATATATATATATATATTAGCGTAGTTTGGTCCACTATTGTATTATTTTTCTAATATTATTATGGGCATAGTAGGTATAAGGGTATTATAGAAATTTTACCTAATTTAGTTGATGACATCAGCACAGTCCGTCATTGACTGACGTTGACTCTAACAGAAGGGAGGTCCGTGTAGGTTAGTTTCATTTTTAGGGGAGGTACGAGTTAATTCCTAAACCATACGGGAGGTCCCTGAAATTATGGCAATCCATATGGGAAGTCCGTGTAATTTAACCAAAGGGTTAATAAATCAACAAGAAATACAAAACTCAGTCTCACTTGAATCTTAAATTGGAGAAAAATTTCCTTGCGCTGCAACGGGCGCATCTAACCGTTAATGCACACACGAGCGCAAGTATTATATGGATGATCTGGATGCCCGTTGCACAGTGCAACAGGCACAAGGAAGTTTTTCTCCTTAAATTAGCCCTAAATTACGACTAGTCTAACCCAAGCTTATTCTTTAAACTCGAGTCTGGTTTCGGATTGGTTAGGTTAAAACTCAGGGTAGTTGAGGGATGGCAATAGGGCGAAGTTGGGGTGAGTTTGGCTAAACCATACTCCGCCTTGTTAGAAGATTCATCATACCAACTCCACCCCTACTCCAGGACAGGTTTGTAATTAGCATATCATCATCACCCCTACTCCGGCAGACAAACTATCGACTCCACCCTACGCACTTCATTTAATTGCGGGGCTTGTTGGATCTATATTCAATAATTTATATGTAGAAATAAAAAATACAGTAATAAATTAAAGAGATCATTAAACAATCGTACCTGGTTGATTGATGAATAAACTTCTGAATACCTTAACAGTTGTAAGTAGAAAATCCTTAGAATGATCTACCCCTTCTTAGAGTTGTCTATTAGATTGGGCTAAATAGGGTTATGAAATCCTTGGGGACGAATTCTCTACAAACAAATATACTTGAGTCTCCCTTCCCATAATGGAAACATAAATACCAATGGCTAGGATTAAATCCCACCAAATAAGTTGAAAAACCATGATCCAACAGTATAAAATTATACTGTCAATTAGACCACAAATTGACAAGTATAACCCCAACCTATTATGTATCGATAATCACACTATAATCCACTTTTAGAAAATATAGTGCATATAACCACAAAATTAATTTTATTTATGTAAAATTTTCAACAATCTCCCACTTGGTTCATGCACTCTAAGTTTTCTTTTTTAAAAAAAAAAAAAAGACACTATGGATTGCAACACTTTAGAAAAGTTGAGTGGCCACTCATTTTATTTTAGAAAACACAATTATTAAAATTGATGGATTGATACTTTAAACACTCTCATCCATGACTTCCTCAAAGTGGATCATGAATGTGTAGACAAGTAATATATTAGTCTAAAGGTTACAAAATCGATTCCATCTAGGATTCAAGCAAACTGCATTTCATGAGATGTGTAAATTGTATGTGGTCTAAAGCACACCTCACTATCCGTCCTGTTTCATACCATCACGGTATGTCACCTGAACATATTATAACAAACCGCCAACCTCATGTCCAGTGAAGGTTTACCGATATGGAGCCAATCCTATATCTAACCCAAGCTATCCTCATGAGTGTAATTCCACTCCTAGACAAACTTAATATCACGTGCATAAACCATATAATAATAATAATAATAATAATAATAATGCATCATAACTTTATTTTGCAAGTAAACAATTGTCACCATAAGGCATAAATAATCAAAAGAAAATAACTATCACTATAGGCATAAACAAACTGAAGGAAAATAACTGCAATGTGACATGATATAACAGAAAAATCAGACATCATAACATAATGACTTTTGAACACCCATCCAAATCATGTTCTCCTTAAAAACTTTTGGCTGAAGACCTTTAGTGAGAGAACCTGCAATAATCTGTTCTGTATTTATATGGGGAGCCTTAATATTACTTTTCTTAACCTTCTCACACACATAAAAGTACTTTACATCTATGTGTCGTCTATTATGCTTGGTCAATTTTTCATTTTTCAC